AGCTTGAGGTAGCGCCGGTGCCAGGATACGACATAGGAAGCGGAAGAGGAGGAGGAGGAGGAGGACTAGGAGGAGGAAGAGGAGGAGGTGGAGGAGGAGGAGGAGGATGCGGAGGAGGAGGATGAGGAGGATGAGGAGGAGGAGCAGGAGGAACAGCGGGAGGAGGTGGGACATGAGCAGGGGGAGGAGGAGGAGGAGGAGGAGGAGGAGGAGGAGGAGGAAGAGGAGGAGTAGGATGAGGTGGAGGTGGAGGATGGCGAGGAGGAGCAGGACTAACATAAGGACGATGAGGAGGAGGCGAAGGAGGTGGAGGAGGAGGACGCCGTGGAGGACAAGGAGGAGCAGGAGCAGCAGGGAAAGGAGGATGTTGAGGAGGATGATGACGATGATGATGATGATGAAGATGCTGATGATGCTGATGATGATGGTGATGATGATACTGATACTGATGCTGCTGATGATGACGATTATGCTGTTGATGATGATGCTGGTGATGCTGATGATGTTGATGCTGATAATAAGGATGATGCTGATGCTGATGATGATGCTGCTGCGGATGATGATGATGATGCGGCTGCTGATGATGATGCCGCTGATGATGATAATGCTGACGATGCCGATGATGATGCTGACGATGCTGATGCTGATACCGATGATGATGATGCTGATGATGATGATGATGATGATTCATGATGATGATGATGCTGCTGATGATGATGCTGCTGATGATGATGATGATGATGATGATGATGATGCTGATGATGACGATGACGATGATGTTGCTGTTGCTGCTGCTGCTGATGATGATGATGACGATGCTGATGGTGATGATGCGGAGGAGGAGGAGGACGAGGAGGAGAGGGAGGAAGAGGAGGCGAAGGCGGAAGAGAAGGAGGAGGAGGAAGAAGAGGAGGAGGATAATGGCGTGTGGGAGGAGGAGGAGGAGGAGGCCATGAGGAGGGAGAGAGGAGGGAGGAGGAACGAGGAGGTTAGGAAGAGGAGGAGAGGAGGCCGAGAGGAGGATGGAGGAGGAGGGAGGAGGAGGAAGGAGAGAGGAGGAGGAGAGGAGGCCGAGGAGGAGGAGAGGAGGAGGAAGGGGGTGGAGGAGGGGGTGGAGGGAGGATGGGGGAGGGAGGAGGGGGAGGAGGAGGAGGGGAGGAGGATGAGGAGGAAGGAGGACGAGGAGGAGGAGGAGGAGAAGGAAGGAGTCGGAAGAAAATGAACCAGGGCAAGCAGGACGCAGGAGAAAGGCCCCCTTCGCGGCGTGCGCTGGCCTGGGGAGGGGGGGGCCCCCGCCCCGATGCCCCACAGGGGCGGGAGGCGCTCCGCCATTCGCCTGGAGCTCGATGGCCTGCGGACCAGGCTGGGCTCCTCCTCCTCCTCCTCCTCTTCCTCTTTTTTCTCCTATCCTCCTCCTCCTCCTTCCCTCCTCCTCCTCCTCCTCATCCTCTTCCTCCTTTCTCCCTAATCCTCCTCCTCCTCCTCCTCCTCCTCCTCCTCCTCCTCCTCCCTCCTCCTCTTTCTTCTCCTTCTCCTCCCTCGTGTCTCTCCCATCCTCCTCTCCTCCTCTCTCCATCTCTTCTCCCTCCTCTCTCTCCTTTTCCTGCTCCTGCTCATCCTCCTCTACGTCCTCTTTCTTCTCCTTCCTCCTCCTCCCCCTCCTCCTCCTCCCCTCCTCCCTCGTCCTCCCGCCATTCCTCCTCCTCCTCCTCCTTCTCCTCCTCCTCCTACCTCCTCCTCCTCCTCCTCCGCTCCATCTCTTCTCCCTCCTTCCTCCTCCCTCCTTTTCCTGCTCACCTGCTTTCTCCTCCTCCTGCTTCTCCTCCTCCTTCCCCTTCTCCTCCTCCTCCTCCTCCTCCTCCTCCTCCTCTTCCATTCCTTTTCCTTATACATGTTTTCTCCCCGTCGCACCCCGAGGCTAGTTTTTCGGGGCGGGCCGGGCGTTTTGCCTGAGACGCCCCCACCACTTGTGACCCTCAAGCTTAAAACTTGGCATCCGATTCGCAGATGGAGGGCAGATCGTTTTCAACATGTTGCTCTCGCAATAGCGCCAAACACATTAGTTTTGAACATGCGCAAGGGGATCACGGATTGAAGGCACATGGTTTTCAAATTGTGGCTCTCGCTTTAGCGCCGCGCGCATTCGCTTTGAACATTTGCAAGAGCTTGACTGGTTGAGGGCGGTTCCTTTTCAAACGGTGTCTCTCGCTTTAGCGCCGCGCCGTTCTTCTTTTCCTCAAAATTCGCAAGAGGTCAGGATCGTTCAGACGCAACAGTCAAGCTTTTGAGTGCCGTTGGCATCCCGAGAGCACTGTCTTGGCATGTTTCAGTGTCTCCAAACGGTTGTGTCCCAACGAGGCAGTTCCCTCAGTGGAAATGAGCCATTGTAGGAACCTGTGAATCGTTGTAGGGGCCTATGAAGAGGGAGCTTGGAGGGAGGGTGTATTCCAACATCGTTTATTACTCTTGAATTTACACTGATCCCTCCTCCTCCTCCTCCGCCTCCTCCTCCTCCTCCCTCCTCCCTCCTCCCTCTCCCTCCTCCCTCCTCCCTCCTCCCTCCTCCCTCTTCCTCCTCCCTCCTCCCTCCTCCCTCCTCCTTCTTCTTCCTCCTCCTCCTCCTCCTCCTTCCTCCTCCCCCTCATCATCCTTCTTCCTCCTTCTCCCTCCTCTTCCCCCTCCTCCTCCTCCTCCTCCTCCTCCTCCTCCTTCTCCTCCTCCTCCTCCTCCTCCTCCTCCTCCTCCTCCTCCTTCTCCTTTCCCCTCACTCCTCTCCTCACTCCTCCTTCCTCCTCCTCCTCATACCTCCTCTGCTCTCCTTGCTGCTCCTCCTCGCTTCGCCCCTCCCCTTCCGCTCCTCCCTCCTCCCTCCTCCGGCCTCCCTCCTCCCCTCCTCCCTCCTCCCTTCTACCTCCTCCTCCTCCTCCTCCTCCCTCCTCCCTCCTCCCTCCTCCCTCCTCCCTTTCTCCTTCTCCCTCCTCCTTCCCTGCTGTACTCCTTCCTCCTCCCTCCTCCCTCTTCCTCACTCCTCCAGCTTCTCCTCCTTCCTCCTACTAACCCCCCCCCTCTCTCTCTCTCCTCCTCTTCCTCCTCCTCCAGTTTCTCCCCTTCCTTCCTCCTCTCCTGTTCCTCCTCTTTCTTCTTCCTCCTCCTCCTCCCTTCCTCCTTCTCCCTCCTCCCTCTCGCCTACTCCCCTCCCTCCTTCCTCCTCCCTCCTTCCTCCTCCCTCTTCCATCCTCCCTCCTCCTTCCTCCTTCCTCCCTCTTGCTTCCTCCTCCTTGCTTCCTCCTTCTTGCTTCTTGCTTCCTCCTTTATTACTCTTGGATTTACACAGACCCCTCCTCCTCCTCCTCCTCCTCCTCCACCTCCTTCTCCTCCTCCTCTTCCCCCTCCTCTTCCTCTTCCTCTTCCTCCTCCTTCTTCCTTCCCCTCCCTCCTGCTCCTCCCTCCTCCCTCCTCCCTCCTCCTCCTCCTCCTCCTCCTGCTGCTGATGATGGTGATGCTGATGCTGATGACGATGATGCTGATGATGATGATGATGATGATGCTGATGATGATGATGACGATGCTGATGATGATGCTGATGATGATGATGATGGTGGTGATGGTGATGGTGAGGGTGATGATGATGATTCTGATGATGATGATGATGATGATGATGATGATGCCGATGATGAGGAGGAGGGATACTGATGATGATGATGCGGTTGAGGATGCAGACGAGGATGAGCATAATGATGATGATGATGCTGCTGCTGATGATGATGATGATGATGGTGGGATAATGCTGCTGATGATTGCATTATGACAATGGTGCTGCTTATCATGGTGATGAATAGTGATGCTGATGACGACGGTGACGATGACGATGACGATGACGATGACGATGACGATGACGATGACGATGATGCTGCTGCTGATGATGATGATGATGATGATGATGATGATGATGATGAGGATGCTGCTGTTGATGATGATCATGTTGATGACGATGCTAATGACGATAATGATGGTGGTGGTGATGGCGGTTATGATGATGCTGGTGATGATGATGCTGATGATGATGATGCTGCTGAGGGTAATGCTGATGATGCTGATGATGCTGATGATGCTGATGATGCTGATGATGCTGCTGCTGATGATGCTGATGATGATGCTGCTGATGATGATGATGATGCTGATGATGATGATGATGCTGATGATGATGATGATGATGATGATGATGATGATGATGATGATGATGATGATGATGATGATGATGATGATGATGATGATGATGATGATGATGATGATGATGATGATGATGATGATGATGATGATTGATGATTATACTGATTGCTGATGACGGATGAAGAAGAGGAGGAGGAGCAGGAGGAAAGGAGGAGGAGGAGAAGGAGGGGGAGGAGGAGGAGGAGGAGGAAGGAGGAGGAGAGGAGGAGGAGGAGGAGGAGGAGGCATTAGGAGGAGGAGGGGCATTAGGAAGAAAACAGGGAGGGGAGGAGGAGGAGGAGAGGAGGGGAGAGGAGGAGGAGGAGGAGGAGGGAGAGTTTTGAGGAGGAGGATGAGGAGTGAGGAGGAGGAGGGAGGAGGAGGAGGAGGGGGAGGGAGGGGGAGGAGGCGGTGGAGGAGGAGGAGGAAGATGAGGAGGAGGAGGAGGAGCAGCAACAGGAGCAGGAAGAGGTGGTAAATTTTGCTCTCGCCCCAGATCCTTCCCAGGAGCCCCCCAGATGTCCCTGGAGGTCCTTGAGGTCCCCAGACGCCTGGAAAGGGCCGACAACGTCAAATAACCGTCCCGTCCGGAAGCGCTCGCACCCCCTTGTCGATCTTCGAGGAGGGCCGAGGGCAAAACTCAGGAGCAGGAGGAGGAGCAGGAGGAGCAGAGGCAGGAACGGGGAGCGAGGCCAGAGGGGCGGAGCGGTGGGAGGGGGTGGCGCAGGCGGACGGAGGGGGCGGCGGGAGGCAGGAGGCGGGAGGGGTCGGCAGAGAGGCTGCGCGGGGACATGGAGGCGCTGAGGAGCCAGGTGCTGCAGAGCCAGGAGGAGCTTGCCGAGCTGCGGCGCAGGCCAGGCCTCTCTCGCCCTCTCGCTCTCGTCGTCGGCGCCGCCGCCGTCGCCGCCGCCGCCGCCGTCGTCGTCGTCGTCGTCGTCGTCGTCGTCGTCGTCGTCGTCGTCGTCGTCGTCTTCCCTCCTCTCCTCCCTCCCTCCTTCCCTCTCCCTCCTTCCGTCTCCCTCCCCCTCCTCCGCGCGAGCCCCGTTCGCTTCCTCTCCCCTGCTCCTCTTTTGTTTACCTTTCGCGGACTAGGTGCAAAGCCGTAGTGTTCTCCTCCTGTTTCTGTTCCCTGCTCTCTCTATCTCTCTCTATCTCTTTATCTCTCTGTATCCAATTAGGAGCAGGGCAAGCATGAGTTGGTGAAGGAGGAGGAGGAGGAGGAGGAGGAGGAGGAGGAGGAGGGGGTGGAGGAGGAAGAGGTTCATGAGGAGCCACCCCCTCTCAGTCCTTTGCGTTTGGGAAGGACGGCGAGGAGGACTCGGGAGTATCAGGATGAGCGGGAGGAGGATCTGGAGCAGGGGGAGGAGGAGGAGGAGGAGGAGGAGGAGGAGAAGGAGGAGGAGGAGAGAGGAGGAGAGGAGGAGGAGGAGGAGGAGGAGGAGGAGGAGGAGGAGGAGAAAGCGGAGGATACGGAGGAGGCTTCAGGAGTATATCCCCTCGCCTCGCCCCTCTCCTTCTGCCTTGACCACCCCTGTGTTCCCCCCTTCTGCGTCGTGCTGTCCGTTCCTCTCCTCTTTATTGTCTACGAACTGCCCGCTGCCTTTAACCGCCAGCCTCCGCTTCCTCCTCCTCCTCCTCCTCCTCCTCTTCCTCCTCCTCCTCCTCCTCCTCCTCTTCCTCCTCCTCCTCCTCCTCCTTCTCCTCGTCGAAAGAGAGAGAGAGAGAGAGAGAGAGAGAGAGAGAGAGAGAGAGAGAAGGTCGGGCAGCGCCATCGAGGCCGCGCACGGTCAGCACGCTGACGACCTGGACGGGCTGCGGCAGGACCTCCCCGTTCCGCGTTGCTGTCTGTTTGCTCGACGCGGCTCCTTGGCCCTCCACAGCGCCCTCCCCTCGGGCTCGCCCCGTGGGGGCGCGGAGGAGCTCGCGCGCCGCGTGCCGCGGCCTGGGCCGGAGCGGGCACCCTTCTCCAAGGGTTGAGTCGGTGCGGGGGCTCGAGGGCGCGAGGATGCTCGCGCGCCTGCGCCATGCAGTGGGGACCCATGCCAAGAAGCACCCTGCTTGTCGCGTTCTTGGGCTTCGATGGTTTTGCGATGGAACGCGTGACGACCCGACAAAATCAATGGACGTCCTGGGGTCTCAGGGCTGGGTTTCTTGTGAGAAGGTTCATTGTGATCGAGCTCCTACTGTGGGGCACGATGCACGGGCGTTGCTGCCGGGAACTTCAGCTTACCGTGTGGCTGCGCTGGTTCTGGCCCACCACGCTTCGGCGCGACCCCCACTTCCCAGGCCCAAGGCTTCAGCTTCCCGATCCTTTCCCGAGTCTCGCCCCGCGGAGCGGAGCGACACGCTGTCTGCTCGCAGTGGATGGCGTGCCGCCAGGGCCGCCGCCGCGACACGCAAAGGAGTCAGATCCTGACCGTAGGTGACCTGGCTTCTCGTCCTGCAGCCTGGGAGAGTGCTGGTGCTGGTGCCTCCGCCGCCACCCTCCTGCCTTCCCGTGTCCTGCTCGCCACCCCGCAGCGCCACGGGTGCCCAGCGCAATCCCGAGAGACGTCGCGGCCATCAGGTGCCTAGGTGCCTTGCTACGCCCGCGCTGAAACGCGACGCATGTCCTGTTGAAACACGCCTGTGTTCACACTCCGTGTCTTGGCTCGGCACGTGCCGGCCTACGTTTTGGCGAATGTATCGCGCCAGACTTACGTTTTCAGTCTGCGTGTTGAGCTCCGTGTCAACACGCTACATGTTGCGTGTTGCGTATCGGGGTAGTTCAAATCACACGTGTCTGGTGGCATTCCTGCTGCTCCTCTTCCACCGCGGCCGACTTCCTCTGCTCGCGTCCCGCTTTCTCGTGCTCAATTTGCCCTGCAGCGACCCCGCCACGGCTTCGACCGCGCCGCCTGATTGCTGGCGCTGCGACAAACCTGAAGTTTCCCGGGAACCTCCTGGAGTCCTCTGGGTGCATCTGGAAGCGTCTTTTGGGCCATCTTTTGGGCGGAGGGCCCCTGGGGCTCCCAACTGCTAGTGACCCACCCGTGCCCACACCCCTGGGGAAAGGGCATGGGATGGTAGAAAGTTCCGATCAGGCACGCCACAAGCTGTCTTGCTCAGTCCCTCCTGCCCTCCCACCGTATAAGTCGCCCCCAAGAAGCAGCATAGGTCGCGGTCGCCAGCCGGTAACCAATCATTGTGAGCCAATGCAGGCGCCAAGCGCGCCACGCTCGCGAGGCGTGCCACTCTTGCCAGGTGCGCCACGCGGACCAGGTGCACCACGTGCCCCAGGCGCGCCTGGTGTGCCAGATGCGCCATGGACGCTACGTGCACCAAGTGTGTCGCGGGCTCCAGTCGCGCCAGGTGCGTCACGTGCGCGACGCGTGCAGAGTGCGCGAGATGAGCCAGCGCACGCGGCAGCACACATCGGGCAACATGCCGGCACCCCCACCAGGTTTGTCAAGCGCTGGTGCAACATGATATGACGGCGATTGGGCAGCACTGTACATTCTACGCGTGTTGCCGCCATTTGTTGTTGACAGGGATGGTTGGCCGTCATTGCGCAGCCGCGCATATGTTCGCCTCGATCAGCGCTGACAGAACTCGCTGCAAACTTGTGTGTTGGGTGCCCGTGCATCGTCAAGTGCTTGCCGCGAGGTGCGCTCTGCATTGCCTTTTTTAAGCGGGTGGTGGTCGCGAGGTGGAGGGGGGGGCGCTGGGCGCATGGGCCGGCGGCGAGCGAGGGGGGAATGAGAAGGAGAAGGCCTTCTCAGACGGCGGCGGGGCTTCCCAGAAGCCCTCGCGCCTTCTCAGACGTTCTTCGTGTCTTCGGAGGAGGCTGGGGGACTTCCAAGCCTTCTGGGAAGGCCTTCTGCTTTTCAATTCCCCCCTCGCTCGCCGCCAAGTGGAGCCTGGTCGTCGGGTACTCGAGTGGGGGAATGCCTTTTTCTTCGATTGGAGAGCAGAGATGGGCTCCTGCCCGAAAGAGGTATAGGTAAAACATTCGGCACATCAGGTAAGGAATCGGCCTGCTAGCGGGTGACTGGCTGACATGTGTCATCCCTTGATGGCGCCAGGGACCCATAGAAGCTCTTGGGCACCTCGGGAATCCAGTGACATATCTGATCGTATTTATCTTCTGCAGGCTTACCTCCAAAGGGATGAGCCATTAGTTTACCTACGGCCCAGAGGGCTGGTGCGAGTGTCTGACATTGTGGTTCGGAGCATGGGAGTACAGGTGTGCACGCATCGAGCTGCGAGCGGCAGCCCCGTCACCGTGCAAAGCAGCATCGAGTTGTATGCTGGATGGTTCTGCCGAGGTGCCCCGAATGGGATTGTCGTGATCATCCTGCACAGTAGTTTTAGAACCATCTTGTGCGCGTTCGCTGGGCCTCACCAAGTGAAAACTTGTTGATCCCTAGCCTGTGTGGGGTCATCGCTGGCTGCTTGCGACCTCTGAGTCCATCTCCCCCTTTAGTATTCCTCCTCGGTGTTACTCCTGTCTTGCCTACGTACTCGTAGGTCGTTGAAGAAATTCATTTACTGTTGGGCGCAATCGGGTCGTAATCTATGTCAAGCGCCTTCCGTGTTGAATCATCGAACGGCCACCCAGCCCTCTTTCGGTTTTCGGGTGTGGGCCGAGACCATGTCTACCTGAGACGCATTCCTGCCGTCACCTCGCAGCGCCACAGATACCCAGCGCAAGCATGGGAGACATTGGGACCATTAAGTGCCATTGTTTCGCATACCTCGGGTCCTTCGGCTCCATCCTCAACCCTGTCTGGGTCGTGTGCCAGAGGCTTCTTGGATGCATCTTGAAGTCTCTCGGAAGGCCACCTCGAGGCTTCTGGGAGGCATCTTGGAATATCATTGGGGCTTCTTCGGGGGCCTGCTCAGACTTTCCCACCCAGTGCGCGGTTCCAAAAGTCCCGACCTTTTCCCCAGGGCCGATTTGTCATCCGGATTCTTTTTTACCAATCCTGGGGCCCGGCGAGAGCCCCCAGAGGCCGAAAAGGGCCAACATCTTTCCTCGTGATATGTTTTAATGATGCGAGCACGTCTGGGCAAGAACTTCCCGGCCAAACCGCCAAACCCGCCGGCGCCAAGCCAGGAGCAAGGCAGGCAGCGGGGGGAGCTGCAGGCGCTGGGCAGGGAGGTGGCCACACTGAAGGAGCGGACGGCAGGGGGGTCCTTTTGCTCCTGCTTTCTCCCTCGCCCTCCTCTCTTTCCTCCTCCTCTCCTCCTCCTCCTCCTCCTCCTCCGCCTCTCCATCTGTTCTCCTACTCCTCTCCTCCCCTTCCTCGCCCTCCTCCCCCTCCTCTTCTCCCCTCTCGTCTCCAGCCTCATCCTCCTCCTGCTCCTCCTCCCCCTTTTCCTCCTCCTCCTCCTCTTCCTCCTCCTCCTCCTCCTCCTCCTCCTCCTCCCCTTTCTCCCCTCCAAGTCCTCCTTCTCGTCGTCGTCGTCCTCCTCCTCCTCCTCCTCCTCCTCCTCCTCCTCCTCCCCCTCCATGTCTTCCTTGTCGTCGCTCTCCTCCTCTTCTCCTCCTAAGCCCCTCTGTCCAGGCCAGGGACAACGTCGGGGCCTCCTGTTTTGCGATCCCCGCAGGCAAGACCCCTTCGCCTGCAGCCCCATCGCCCCCACCCACCATGTGGGCATCTCTGCTTGAGACGCTTCTGTATAATCCACTTTTCCTTTCTGATTCCTGGGGAGCTCATGCTGTTTTTTCCTCGTTTGGGATTCGCTGATGTAGTCCTGCTCCCTTGCATCCAGAAACGCAGACGTGCAGGTGATCCGCCGACGTTCCAGCGCCTTCAAAACATATGATGGTGAACTTCGGGTCGCAGCGGGGGCGCCACACGAACAAAAGCGCCTGCTGCTCGATCATGTTGCGTCGTCATGTGTTTCGCCAGGTTCACATCCAAGAAATATAGGACCTCCCGAAGGAGTTGGCAGGAAAAGGGGGGGTTGTCGGTCTTAAGAGCCAGACGTCTGATATCTGACTCGTGGTGGCTTATTTTCCTCCGTCTCAGAGGTATCAGGTTAATCATTGGACGACCAGGTGCGCAAAATTGCAGCATGGACTCATCGAGCTATCCAGCGAGCCCAGGCTCGCAGCATGGTGGTTGTCGGAGCTGATAACAACTCGGGGTTTGGAACAGGGGCGGGGGCCCGACAACGACACTAGACGATGTGCACGTCGGCCAGTTCGCGTCGAGCTACGGAAACGGCGTGAGCGCCACTTTATGGCGCAGGGTGAGCATGAAACGAATGGCTGCTCTCGATGCATTATTTGACACGGGGCCGGTCTATTTCGACGCAGAGCAACACACCACTTCACACCCAGAACACCTGTGGCTCCCCTGTGAAGCGGTGCAGGCTGCACGTGCGTGTGTGTGTGTGCCCGTGTTTACGGAGGGCGATGTGGTACCTTCAGCGGATTTCTTCACCTCGGTGACATGATCACTGCCCAATGCTGTGGAAGCTACACTGTATATGGCAGACGGCGTCTTCCGTTGATACTTGACAGATTCGATGGGGTCGTGAGCTACTCAGTCAGGCGCTCCAGCTTCGCGGGGCTTCAGAGCAGTGAGCTGGAACGTCGTTGCGAACAGGGTACGGCAACTCGGAAGCGGAGGCTGAATGATACGATGCCTTCCAGCCTTGGGCCAAATTCGTGGACGATGTGAGGGCAGCGGCTAAGGAAGAGTTCGTGAGTAGTCAAATGGGGGGCCCCAATGACGAGTATCGAGCAGAATGGGATCGACTATTGGAGAAACGCAGACTTTTGAACGTTAGCTTGGTCAAGGAGGATTGGATGGGACCACGTGCCTGCGACCGACAGATCAAGAGGGCATCACTTAGATGTAGAAAGAGCACGTGGAGAACATGTAGCGCGAAGCTTAGATCGCCTTCGACAGGGGGCACGCGAATCATGAGTTGAGGTTGACATCCCTGATAAGGGGCACGCTGCCACGGAGTACGTCGACGGCGGCTCAACGTCATCCCCAAGTATGCCCCGACCTTAGAGTAGTGGACAGAGACGATGGAGGCGACTGCTCGCGAGGGTGGTTTCCGTGCGGTCCGCCTTCACGGGCCAGCAGTGCGTTCCAGTGTGGCACCTGAGAGAAGGGGGCGCGAATATTCTGACGGGAAATAGGAGGCGCTGGGTGGGCGACTTGGCGCGGCCGCCAACGATGATTCGACGAATGCGTTGGCTGTTCGGAGACAGGAGCGCGACGAATATCTGCTCCACCACGTGCTGTTTCTGGATGGGTCTGGCCGGTGATGCTGAGAGCTCCGACCCGTGGAGCCCGAGGAGCTCAGCCCGATGAGTTGCAATGCCAGAGACCTCGAGTTCACGTTCCTTGCTCTCGGTTTGCTGGGCGGATGTCCGTGATTATTGCGCGCCGCCCTTCCAGCGGCGCTGGCCTCGCGCGCTCCAGTTGTGCAGAGGGCAGTGCTGGGCGCGGCGCACAGGCGATGCGACTGACCCGCTGCCATTGCCCGTCCGGCAAGGCTTGGTCTAGAGGCGTATTTTTGTAAGACGCCCGCGCCCTCGACTCCCCGACCCCGCCCGCGGCTGCGCCGAGGGCGGGCCTCGACGGGGTGCGCAGTTGGTCTCGATGCTCCACTCCTGGAGGCTACGAACATAAAGTTTTTGTCGCGCCTGCAGGCCAAGGGAGACGCGAACGGTGCTTTACCGTCGACAGACCATGCGATGCTCGGGCGAGTCTTTGGCGAGGCTACCCCCGACGTCCAGGGCCAACTGCCGATGCGGCAGAGACGTCGTGGAGCTGTCGTGGGGGCCCAGGCGGGCGGGGGGGCTGGGTTCTTCCAGCCCGCGCATGGCGCGGGCATGGGCGACGGCAACGCGTGCGAGATCTTCGCCAGGTCGTTCGTCGAACCTCTCGAGGCGTGGAACCAGATCCCCCTTGAAGAGACCCAGGAGGAGCTCGAGACGAGTGCTGGTCGCGCTGCTCTTCCCATGGGGGCGGCGACGCTTGTTGGTTCGCCGTGCCGCGAGGAGCTGGTCGACATTTCTATGCGTGATTGCCGCTGCCCGACTGCCGCGCTGTTCGCGCAACCTGGGTCGCAAAATTGACTTCTCGCATCCTTCCGGATCAGTTGTGAGTGCCGGGGGATTTCGCCCAGAACGCCGACAAACAGATTGCCCTCCATGTGCGCGTGGGTCCTGGGGGCCACTCTGCTGCGAGGGCTGCGTCGTCGGGTCTCGCCCAGCTCGCTGGCCAGTCTTGAGCAGAGGCGATCTACATTGGGTTGGAGAACTTGAACACCTCGCGGGGAGAGCGAGCGGGGGCTGAGGTTCGACTTGGTGGACGCTGCGCGCTCCGCCTAATCCGAGCTTGGTCGATTCTGGAATCAGCGATCGCCCTTTGGAACTCAAGCGCATGGCCCTCTTGGGGATTATCCGCAGTGCCGCGTGCTCTGGCCTCGTTGTTTACCTCTTCGGAAAGCGGGGCTTCGCGAAGCTCGACTCGGCCGTTCCCGGGTTCGCCAAGGCCTCCCTTCGAGGGGTCGCTCGACGACCGAGGGCAGGAGGGGGTCGAGTTCGAACGCCTGCAGCTTGGGCCACGCACGACGCATCTGCTGCTGGCAGAGATTGGCGTCACATCCTGCAGAATCCTCTCAGGTTGTTGCCGCGCTCTGTGGACGCCTCAAGCCGCTTGGCGAGCCGCCGGCGTTCGTCCCCGAAGGCTGGATCCGCCCCGGCGATAATCTTGGGCCCTGCAGCTACGCGGTGATATATGGTGAGGTCCTCTCTGTGAGGTCTTTTTAGGTAGGGGCGATTCGATTAAGGGCATTTCCACTGCCGTACCACGCGTCGCATTGAGAGCATGGACTCCTAGGGCTTTCGGACATCGCATTGGGAACAGGCTCGCGCGGGGCCCCTTCGGCTACCCCCCGGGGCTTCATGCGCCAGAACCTTCTGGAGTTCCTCCAGGCCCCGAAGGCCCTCCTCAAGAGTTCTACGGCGACCTCACAGCTGAGCACGGACTCCACCATAGCCAGGCGTCTTATTCTCGGTCTGCCCTGCAAGCCCACCAGAGCAACCGCCCGTCGCGCAAGATCATGGTTCCCATGCGCCAGCGTATTGTCACTAAACTGTGCGGATTTTGCTCCTCTACCTTCGCGTCGACGGTCTTAGCGAGGGGGCGTGTGGTGCAATCCCTATGAGCAGGACGGTGCCTGACTGACTTCAGCGCGTTCTCTCCGCCCCTGATAGTGCGCGATGGCCTCCGCTGTCTGGTCTGCGTTGACCCCGATGAGCTGCGACGTCGGGGGCCGCGCCTGTTCAAGGCGACTGTTCGACAGTTCGAGAAGTGCGAGGGCACGCGCGAGAAGCTCGCGCCCCGCCGCCGCCAGATCTCGTCACAGATGTCAAACCTGGCGGAGCGGGCTCGCGCCGCTGGGGCGCAGCAGAGGCAGCGAGATCTCGCGGGTGTGCGAGGCGATCGGACTCGGAGCGGAGAGCGTGGCCGACCACGGCGCCAGCGCCACCGACAGCAGCAACAGCAGCAGCCGCGCCCAGGGCAGCTGGCTGTGCTTCCAGGCAACCTGAACGGAGGAGGAGCCCGTGCAGACAGACGCCTGGGGCGCCGCGGACAATCATTGCGGGCTGCGAGAAGGAGACGTGCGGAACCTCGAGATGACGCCGCGCCAGTGGGTCCATGTGATGATGCCCATTCTGATGCGCATGGCCTTCGGGCGCGAGCGCGCGATCAACCGCCTGGAGTCAGTCGCCGCGTCCAGCTCTCGACGGTTCGCAATTGCATTCAATCCATGATGCTGACAGTTCGCCACTGCGGGCAGGAAGCCGGGAGACTGCGCGAGGCCAACCAGCAGGCGATCCAGAACGGAGAGGCGGGGGCGAAACTCGAGGCCCCGGTGATTCCGCATCCGCGCGCGTGGGTGGCGCCCATTGTCGCGCTCGCCGGTCAAAGGGGCGAATTCGGCCAGGCCGACGCTCGCGCGCTCAAGGGGTGCCAGGATCGCATGGAAGGAGTGGCGTTGGGCAGCGGCGCCCTGGCAGGTCAAGCGCGACACAGCAGGCCGCATGCCATTCGCGCGCGGGACAAGGCCAAGATCTGGATCGAGGCCAAGGCGACGGGCGTGGAGGATACCGTGCTTCAGGCTCTAGTGCAGTTGGGG